TCTTAGTTGGATTTCCCAGGTCTGTTTGCAGCCTCCTGTTTGTATATGTATCCATTTCCTCCAAATTGAAACATTTCGCCTTGAAAGGAGGCTCTTCTAAGACTGAAGAAAAAGTAACTGACTAGATGCACCAGGCTTGTCCTTCCCCGGGTTATGTCACCAGTGGGGACTTCTGAGGAGACTCAAAGCAGCAGGCTGCCTGGATGGGACCATTGACCAAGCCTCCTGCTGCTGGGCTCCAGCTCTCGGGAATCATCATCCACACCTGAGTGGGTTTTCACTGCCTGGAGTCATCTCTGCTCCTGTAAGTAACCTGTCGTTACGGATGTCAGAGGTGGTGGTGACGCTCACAGTGAGGCCTCGTGAGACGGTAGGTCATTACTCACACACCTCGGAAGAGCATCCTGAAGCATGGGTCTGCTTCGTTCCCAACACTCTTCTATTATAAAACACCAACACAGGCCCCGAGCAAAGGGGCCAACCCATCAGAGGCCAAAATCCCGAAGGTGTGAACCAACCTTTCCTCCCTGTAAACTGACCTATGTGAGGCATTTGTTACCGTAACGAAAAGCTCTCTCCCATAGCTTTATTCACCGCCAAAGACTCAAAGGATTGCAATCCTTTCCCTTTGACAACTGAGCCGTGTCCATGGAGTGACTGCACTACAATCTGTTTGGCCAGTCCCCTGCTCAAGGACATCTAGGCTCATTAGAGTTTGGAGACGGTACCCGAAAAGTCTATGAATATTCATGAAGAGGTTCTGTGTGAACCTGTTCCACCTCTCCACGATGGACAGATGCCCAAGGGAGAGAGAGGCTGCTTGGTTAGACAGAAACTGCAGGTCTGGTTTTGCATGGGATTGCTAAAGTGTCCTGCAGATAGGCTCTGCTCACTAACCCTGCCTTCCACTCACACCAGTGGGCATCAACGACCTGCCTTGCGGTAGTCTCAGTAACATTTTATTAATAGCTGATATTATTTGTGTGCGTACGATGATGCCCGAGTGCAGGATTTTTGTGGAAGTCAGAGGAAACTTTGGAGAATTGGTTTTCTCCTTCCACCATGGGTTTCTGGAACGGGACTTAAGTAGTTCAGGCTTGCACAACCCGTGTTGTGACTGAGACATCTAGCTGGCCCGTCACCAACAACACCAGGTAGAGGCTGTTTTTCCCTTAGCCATCTTGACAGGTCAGTAATGATGCTGAACATCTGTCTCTTCATATCTTCATATTCTCTCACCCATTCTCAGTTTGGAGCTTTGTTCTTCACGTTAAGTTCTGAGAGTTCTCTACAGCCCACATACTGAAGTTAGTTTTGGGTTGCTGAGATTCTTACCTCAGAAACAACTTCAGTCAGGGAAGGTTCGCCTTTGCTGGCCGTTTCAATCTCAGTGCGTCACAGTAAGGGTGGCGCAGCAGAGAAGGAAGGGTATCATGGCAAGCAGGAGGAAGGCAGAGAGCAGGACAAAAGAGAGGGGGAGGGAACACCAGCACCAACTATCACAAAAGGAGGCAATTCTCAAAATTAGCATAATTTTAAAACATTAATTCCGGCTAAAGCAGTGTTATTTTCAAAAGGCCGGTTCTCGCTCGCTCGCTCGCTCCCTCTCTTTCCTTCTTCAAAGAGAAAAGGCAAACATAAAAACAGGTGTGCAAGCCAGGCAGGTCTGGTGGCGCTGAACTACAATCCCAGCTGCTCAGGAAGACGAGCCCGGCAGGTAACAGTGCAAGGCCGGCCTGAGCTCGTGTAGGTCAGCTAGTGAGACCCGTGGTTTGTTTAGCCATTCGTGGTAGGGCACTAGCCTAGCATGCACATACTCTAAATTCAATCTCTACTTCCACTAAAAAGAAAAAAATTAAACTAGGAGGTGTTTAAAAAGAAAAAAATCTTGATGGGAGGAATAGAGATGGCGAGGTAGGGAAGTAATTGCAGAAAATGTAAAGAATTAAATATGATGCCTAGCATTACCTATAAATGTCATGACATGGCAGCTATCTGTGAAGATTCGTCTCCGGGGCAGTCTGTCTAGCTGTACTAGCTGAACTGGTGTGCTGGGTTCTGCAAACACCCTGCTTCAATGTAGAAGGTCAAAGATCAACTTCTGACCTCCGCATGCACTTTGCACACATGTAAACATGCATAAGCAAGTGTACGCACACCACAGACACAAATGGAGCTGCAGCAGGGTGGGGGCCCCTCGCTGGCCTGAGGCTTCCACGGAACATTCTCTAGGAAAAGCAGGGCTAAGCCATAAAACAAACCTCAAGAAACTAACCCAGAGCTGGTGAGATGGCTCAGTGAGTAAAGGTGCTTGAAGACCTGAGTTCGATCCACAGGACCTACACGAAGAAGAACCAGCCCCAAAAGTTGTCTCTGACCCCTACAGGCATGCCATGGTGGACACATAGATAGATAGATAGATAGATAGATAGATAGATAGATAGATAGATGCTATTCATTTATTAATTTTTGAAAACAAAAGTCTTTCTCACTGACCTATTCAGAAGTTTGAATAAAAACTACAAAACCAGGTCATTCCCTCTGTTGCATAATCAGAACGGTGCCCTCTCGGATGACTGAGTGTACAAAGATATATTCCAGGCTTTGAACACCTGTGGGCTCTTAATGAGCTTGAGTCAGGCTTCACAGAGGCCAAATCAACAAAGCAAAGGAAGTTGAGCAGAAAGGCTGGCGGACAGCCAGGGATGGAGGCCCTGATGTCTCCCCTGGAGGCTGTAGCTGGGTAACATGGGGGTTAGAAGGGCTGTGAGTGAGCCTATAGTCCGGAGTAAAGTGGGTGGGTTTCAGCCAGGTCATCCTGGCTGGATGTGTGCTGTGGGATGCACACAGCAGGGCGTCTTCAGAGAACACCAGTGAGCCCACCCGGGGAATCGAGGCAGCCACCTCCGGGAGACTGTGCTGATCTGAGACTGTCCCTCATAAGAAACCCCACCGTCGTTGTCTTGTATTAGTTGCAAGGTCCTTGTCAGAATTGAAATACAGAGACTGCCAGACCAGTGTTTCTCCACAGCTTAGCCGGAACATCCCACATCCCAAAGCCCAAGGAAGGTGTGGCTATCAGTGCCTTCCTGCCTCCTTTTTTCCTAAAATTAATGGTAAGTTTCAGCGTAGCAAACAATACTATCCCATTCAACTAGAAATCAATTTCTCCTTAAAGTTTAGTCTATTAGCGTGCATGCACACACACACACACACACACACACACACGCACGCACGCACGCACGCATACACGCATACTCACACACATTTGTAGCCCCCAAGAGAGAAAGAGGGGGACTTTTCTCTGTCAGAGTCCCCATGACCACAGCGAGGTGTCAGATGAACACACCTCTTTCACCAAGGCTGACTCTGCCCACCGACCCACCCAATGCATGAAACACGAGCCAAAAAGCTGCTTCGGGGTTACAATAAAGAAGAAGTATATCTGAGCTAAGTCTGGGGAGTTTGAAGACTTGTCCAACCCCCAGAAAAATAAGCGATTAAGTGCTGTTCACGGGTATTATAAACCTACCTGATGCAATGTGATACGGCATGTTTGCAAACACAAAGAAACAGAGTAATTTGCCAAACACCACTGAAAAGACTTGCAAGATATGGCTTCAGTGCTTATTTAATTTTGGTTTCACCACATTAGATATCAAAACTAGAAGTGTGATGCAGCTGTCTTTATTAAAACCCGAGACGGGAATCCCTGAGGATTCAGAGCCAAGTTTGCAATAGTATATTAATTCCCCCATTTGCTTCCCAGGACTTCAGTTACCCACAATCCAGTCCAAATATATCAATGGAAAATTCCAGAAATAATTAATTCATTACATTCTAAGCAGCTTTTGCTATATTATATTATTACAAACTGTTCTATTTTACTAGTTGCTGTTCTAAATCATTTGCTGCTATGCCTGATATATAAAATACATTTAATGACAGAATTGTATACATAGAAACCATAACATATATGGGGTGTGGTGTAACCTTTGGTCTCAGATGTCCACTATAGTCCGGGAATAGACCTGTCATGAGAAAGGACGGCTAATGCTTAACCTAGCTTAGCTGGCTAGATACTGTCATCATGTCTCTAATGCCCTCTCTACAGTGTGGTATGTTGTTTGGGTGTGTTCTTCAAGGCTCATGAGCTAGAAGCATGGTGGGGACACATTCAGAAGGGATCAGTGTAATTCTCATGAGATCCCACTTGGGATAGGAGACAAATTGGTCGTTGGGCCCCTGCCCCACCGAGTGACCGATTCTGCATATGGCCGCCATTCCCTTCCTATTTCTCCACCATGCTAAACCTAATATATCATCAGCGGTCCATTGTTGAAACTCTAGGCAAAGCACAAGGAGATTCTTTTCTTTATAAAAGCCCAGCCTTGGGTATTTTGATCTAACAATCAGAAAAAGGACTAAGACATAAGGTCACGAAGTTCCATAAGCCATTGCCACATGGGGTACTGAATACATCGTATTCAGACATTAAATCAAAATAGTAGCATTATATGGACTACATCCTTGGGTTGACATCTAAAACAAACATGTTATGGAAAATATCAAGACTTCCTGTGGCCTTTTGTATATGAAAGTGTTACTAAAATTATATTAGTTCTAATGATAAGGGGAAAAAAAGGTAGTAGAGCAATCTAGTCCAACAATAGATAGAGTTATTGAATCAGCTGTGTTATGCATAGACCATTTGCGTTAACATTCACCGTTATCAGTGCCATCAGGTTTATGTCATTCTCCCTTAATTCCACTCTGGTTGATTAATATCGTACTGGCGACTACAAGTGAGGGGCCATCAGTCAAATCATTACACAGAGAACATAAACAAAGGAAAGACTAATCCCATGTTAGTCAGAGACATTTTGGGACGGGAGATGTGAATGATGTGCGTGCACGCGTGTATACACACACACACACACACACACACACACACACACACACACACGCACATGCACGTGCATATTTGAAACACATCTTACCTAATATCTGAGAGGTCACATTTATTCCCAGCAATCGCCATCACAATGTTCTCTGGCCCATGCTCTTTCAACTCCTTAACCCATTTTTTCAGGGTATGAAATGAATCCTAACCAAGAACAAGAAGAGTCACTGAAAACACTGGTCAATACATTTCAAACAAGGAGGCATGTGACTCAATGGGGGAAAAATGTCATAAGGGATACATAGTTAACATCGGCTAACTTCACTCAGCCTATAGCCAATGCCTCTCTCAAAGTTAAACCGTGAAGCTGAAAATCACATTATTGAGTTTTTTCAGTAAATACCATTGATAGTAGCCTTGACACTGTGGGAACCAGGACATCAGGATCAAGTGAATGCTTGCTTCGAGAGAGAAATGCATTGGTTTAGGTCCTGCTCCAGGGAGGAGGGCCAACGTGGACAGGACATGTAGGTGGAAGTGGTCAGGATATAACAGCAATGAACCAGCTATTGGTCAGCTTTCCAGAGGGACTGGAGGCGGGAGAAATGCCCAAATCAAAGCATTTATGTGCTAATGAATATAACTCAAAATATTACTGCATGAGATACATTCCTGGGTCCCTGAAGCTGAGGTTTGTAACCCAACCCTGGAAACAATGTGTCTCTGTCCCATGAGTCCCTAGGGTGCAGCTTAAGTAAACAATGAGGCAGAGTGAGATGTAACAAACTAAAATAATCATAATAATAATACATTACTTAAAATGTATGCCTTGTTTCTGGAATTTTCCACTTAATAGTTTTAGCCGGCAGTTGGCCTTGAATAACTAAAACTATAAAAAAAATCAAGCCACAGATAAATGGGGAACGATTGCCTACAAGCACATACATATTCACTCTTATAAACATACATATTATCTCTGATCTTTGAATGGTGTCACTGAACCAGTAACAGAAAATAACCTAAAATGATAAAACATGCAGAACTTAAAATGTTCTCAAGGAAAGTACAAACAGACATGACCGTGCCTCTCTATGTTAGCAGAGAGGCAGAGAGGCAGCTAAAAGTATTTGTTGCTGTTCCAGAGGACCAAGGTTCGGTTCCCAGCAGCCACATAGTGACTCACAACCATCTGTAACTCCAGTTCCAAAGGATCCAATGCCCTCTTACACACACACACACACACACACACACACACAGTGTGCAGATATATATGCAAGCAAAATGCTCATACACATAAAATAAAATAAATAGATCTAAAAGGGGAGGTCAGTTTTTAAAAGGAACGTGTCGTTTTCGTAATTGAGAAGATGAATCAAAGCTGGTTTGTGGGGGAAACGTGCTGCACACATAGCTCTCACTGCCTTTGCCCCCACACCATCTAGTCTCCCAAGGTGCTGGCAAGACTCACAAAGCGCCAATCTGCTTTGGTGTCTCTGGGACAGTCCCCACACATGGCGTCTGAAGCTGGAAGACATTCTTACCTGTTTGGTGATGTCATACACTATGACGGCTGCAGCCGACCCTCGGTAGTACATAGGAGCCAGTGAGTGGAACTGTGCAAAAGCAATCAACAGTTAGGCCCCAGTGAACACATGGATTGCAAGCATTCCTAACCACACGGCAAATCTTTACGCTGCATCGCCCCCTAGGAGCTCTAAGTTCCCCCTAGGACATCTCTTGAACTTAAGTTAAACAATAAATTCTGCCCCCAACTATACATACATTTGTGGCTTACGGACCATGAAATCTCCTCTTGGCCAAAAGACAGACACAGAATTTATTTTCAGTGTTGACATCCTCTGAATTTTCTTTTCTCTCCAATCTCATTAGAATTATAGAGTGGTAAGGAAAAGATACACTCCAAGGGGAAAGAAAATAAGGAAAGACTACTACATCCTTGCAGAAGCAGGCTACGTGCCCTCAGACCTGCTGGCTGCCATCTCTATCGGGCAGAGCTTTACTGCCTATCAGGGTCAGCTAATGGTGAGACAGTTGGTAGGGACTTGATCCCCAAAGCCAGAAACCTAAGTGTCACTACCTACTGGAAACTTTCATCCTCAAATAAGAGGGATAATTATTCTCCAAATGAATACATTATATGCATATTTTTGAAGGAGGGCCTAGTCTTAAATTGTATTTTTTTTTAATTAAAAAAAAGTCTTGGCCGGGTGGAGGTGGCAAATGCCTTTGATCCCAGCATTCGGGAGGCAGAGGCAGGCGGATCCCTGTGAGTTCGAGGCCAGCCTGGTCTACAATTAACAAAAAGGTTGATCGATGAGGTATTTCTTAATTTAATAAACATTAAAAACCCTTAGACCCAGTGTTGGAGTGGGCCTGGAGAGGGAGATACTCTTGTCTACTACATGGGGATGGCATTTATCACCACGATGCCACTAGCTATGACACACCAAAAGCTGAGCTGTGCATGCCCTTGACCTACATTCTAGAGTGACCACCATGCCCAGAAAAGACATTTCTCCATGCTGTGTTGGAGAGAAAAATCAAAGAAGAATGTGAATGTTCATCACTGGACTGTGTCATACCCCAGACTAAATGCTCGCGTGTCCCGCACGACTTAAGCATTGACATCCTTGTCAATGTGATGACCTTCAGGAGGGAAGGTCATGGGAGGTCAGGTGGGGGTCACTGGGGTCACGAAGCTGGAGTCCCCAAGATGGGATTAGAGCCCTGCACACACAGTGTGTGAGGATCCAGAAGGATCTAGGTCATCTGTGCTCTAGGAAGGGAGGCTTCACAAGATAGTAAGTCTGCCGGTATCGCGATCTACCGCCAGAACCGTAACAACGAAAGTGGGTATTCTAAACCGTTCTCTCTGCATCTGAGGCTGACTGAGATATACGTTTATAACGGAGTGTTCCCATAACTGCTGAAATGAGAATTTTTATCTAAAGGAAAAAGTTCTTTTGACATAGTGTTAAGTGAGAAACGTCTGAAGGCAGCAAAGATGCTATCATTTAATATGAAAATGTGGGCAGCAATGGATGGACAAATGCTAAAGTCACATGATCATCCTAACCTCTGAGCCATTTCTCCAGCCCCCTATGTGATCATCCTCAAAATGTTACCAGTAAAACTTCTGTGATATGTACATTCAAAAGGCTGCATAATATAAACTTCACAGTAATTTTAAGCAAGTTGGGATGGCTCGGCGTGTAAGGGCGCTTGCTGCCAAGCCTGAAGACCTGAGTTCAGTTCCAGGAACCCACACAGTAGAAAGACAAAACCGAATCCTGCAAATTGTCTCCTGACTCCTAGTTGTGTGGTGTGGCATGGCCCACACAAAACAAATAAAACATTTCAAAAGATTAATCAAAACCCAGCTATTTAGTAGGGCAGTGGTGGCACGGGCCTTTAATCCCAGCACTTGGGATGGGGGGCAGGGGGGTCAGAGACAGGAGCAGCTCTGTGAGTTTGAGCCCAGCCTGGCCTACAGAGTGACTTCCAGGGCAGCTATGGCTGTTACACAGAGAAACCCTGTCTCAAGAAAAACAAAAACCAGTGATTTTTGTTGGGGCGTGAAGGAGAGAGGGAGGAATGAGGGATGGATGAATCCAGTAGTTTCCCTGGCAAACAGCAAAACTGTACTGGTTTCATGCATGTTTCCCGCGTGGCATTTCTCACGGAATGCTCAGAAGGTCAAGAGAGGGAGCAGGATGGATGACTACAAACAGGTCTCTCCTTAGAAGGAAGGACCACCCCGGAGTTTGGTGGCTTTTAGGGAGAGCCAGGCTTACCGCTGAATGGAGACCAAGACCCTGCCACATTCCGTCTGGACACAAACACCACTCCAGGCCTCACAGCACAAGATGCCACACATGCCTTACTACAGTCACAGACCTCCCCTGTGTCTGTCTTAACTACTAAGCTCCAAGGATGCACGTTCAGCCCACCCTTGGCAATGTGCGCCTCATGTATCAAAACCAGTCAGAATGTCTGTTCACGGGAGGAAAAGGCAAGGTCTGCAAACCCTGGACTCAGCTGAGGGTGGAGGGCGCATAAAGAGCGGCCTCTCAGCCAACCCTGCAGAGGGTCCTGCTCTTATCTTGTTTTCAAGACAGCCTCAGCTAGGGTCGGTACGAGCCCCGTTTCCCGGAAGGCAGACACGTGACTGATTTCCCTTTGGACTCTGACGCCAAAAGCTACCTCTCAAACGGCCAATAGTGCAGATCTCATGAATTATTGAAAGTCCTCGGTAGGCGATGCTTTGTTCCTTCCCCACAAAGGAACCACTTGGAAATAAATCTTTTGGTGCAGCCACTTAAAGGGCTTTATTGCTGGAGACTGAGGGGTCTTAATAAATTCAAAGTTAGCGTCTCGTCCCAAAACTCAATAACGCCCTGACCAAAGGGTAATATTTGTGAAGGACAAAGAGATAAATCATTTCTGGCTTGCAGTATATATCTTTTATTACATTCAAGTAGAACATAAGTGCACACACAAGTCAGCCACCAGCTGCTGTGGTTTAATTTACTTTCCAAGAGGTCAGAATTAACATCGATGGATAACACAAAAGATTCTTCCAGAAATAAAGGTCACAATTCCAGGAGGTTGGTAAAAGCTTTCATATTAAAACCTCACCTTGAAAGGCTATTTTAAAATCAACACAACAGATGCTGACTCTAACCCTTTGCAAGCTACCCAACAAAATAGAGACTTCAGATTTCAATGTTGAGATGACTCCCCAGGTACAATTTATTCACTTAGGAACAGCACAGAAAATTCTGGAAAGCCAATTTGCCTCTTCAAAGAGGTGGTTATCACGTCCTTTGGGCATGTGACTTTTTTAAGATTTTATTTTTATTACTCATATGTGTGCATGTGCACAAAAGAATATGTCAATTGGGCCCTCCCCCCACCTCTCCCACCCTCCTCTTCCGCCATCCCCCCCCCCACCGCCCCGGGAGCTGGAGTTACAGAGGACATGATGAGCTGCCCAATATGGGTGTTGGGAGCCAAATTCAGGTCCTCTGGAAGAGCAATATTCATTTTTAAGTGGTGCACTATCTCAACAGCCCTGACTGGTTTGTTTTGGGTTTTTTTTTGTTTGTTTGTTTGTTTTGTTTTGTTTTGTTTTTGTGGTTATCTACATCATAAAGAGAAAGGAATGATTCAAGCACTTTGAAATTCTCAGCTTCTGTGGATGAATGAGGTATTACTCAGGAGCAAGCAGTGAAGGAAAGACACACAGTCTCCTGACAAACGTGCTTCCAGCCGGGTCCTGCTCCGAGAGGAGAATTACCCATGGCAGACACCCGGGCTTCAGGTCCTGCGTCTTGCAGGGTGGATTCTGCAGGACAATTTTCCGAGAATGATCTGTCCCTGGAGAGTCAGAGGCAGCCGGGGACAATGCCAGTCTGTGGCCAGTCTGCAGATCCGCCTCAGGTGCCAGCCCCCAGCCCTCCCCAGGAATGCCCAGCAGCCACAGTCAAGGCTGGGGTGAGTCAAGGGCAGAAGCCAAGAAGGCGCCCAAGGCCCAAGGATTGGGGCAGAGGGAGTGATGGAAGAAAATTCCCGCCATTCCCAGCGTCCTCAGCTGGCAGAAGGCGAACGGAGAGACAGTGATGAAGGGTCTCTCTGTCCCGCTCTCACACAGGCCCTCTTTCTTGGCTGAAAAGCAGAGAGACTCATTAGCATGCCTGCTCAGACACGCTGACACCTGACCGCCTGGAGGAGTGAACAGAAAGGGGGCTGGGAGGCAAGGACAGGGCCATTCACAATGGTTCCCACTAAAGAGTGCCGCCAACATGCCAAGGCCCCTGCTCATAGTTCCGAGTTAATGAAAAGCTGTTTGAAATATGATGCATGACTTATGCAACAACAAGAAATGTCTTTCTCTTCTTTTCCTCTTTAGTAAGCATGTCACTGAAGCCAAAAGTGCTTCCTCATACGAGGGTTAGGAGCGGGCGTCTTTAATCCCAGCATTGAAGAGACAGAGGCAGGAGGAGGCCTGTGAGTCCAGCCTAGTCTACACAGTGAGCTTCGGGACAGCCTGGACTACGTAGCCTGTCTCAAAACACAAGACAAAACAAAGCATAAAGCAAGAAAGAGAAAGAAACAAAAGCTTCCGCTGCCTCCAAGGAGCCTTTGCTAGAACCAACATGGCCTCCTTTCTGACAGGCACAACATAAAACTCCTCTCCAACAGAAAATGATTCGATATGGATCAAAGGGTCTTCCCACTAAAAGGAAGCAGACGAATGTTCCAGTGACCCTGGCTGACCTGGAACTCACTCCGTAGTCCCTTTGCCCCCTGGAATTAAAGGCGAACACCACCAGGACGGGCGCGGTGTGCTTCCGGGGTGTTGCTCGTGTTTTTAGAGTATCTCGTGCTTGTGAATGTTTTGCCTGCATGCATGTGTGGCAATGGTGCGCCTGGTCCTTGCAGAGCTCAGAAAAGGATGTCAGATCCCCAGGAACTAGAGTTATAAATGACTGTGAGTCCTCATGTGGGTGCTGGGCACCAAGTCCAGACCCTCTGGAAGAGTAGCCAATGCGCTTATCTGCTGAGCCATGTCTCCAGCCCCAAGGCTAGT